TTAACTAATTTAGGAACTTTTTTTTTGTAAAAAAAATGGCATTTGTTGTTTATATAAGATGGTTTACAGAAGCTTCCAAATATGGTTTTTTTTGTTATTTTTCTTAGAGAAGACAAATCTATTTGAAGGAGGAACTACTTCATTGAAAAACATCTTTAAAGACTAAGTTGACCCTCATCTTATACAGGTGTCCTTGGTTATCTACAGAATTTTGGGAATAGAAAGGGTATCTTAACCTATTTTTACAGTTAATCACCTACCCATAACAAGGAATTAAGACTTAGGAAAGATTTCAGAATATTTGAACTGCATTTGTAAATGCAGATGAGATATGAGAAAGATGCCAAAACATATGTTTTTTATAAAGATCAGACAGTGCTTGACCGGATACTATTGTCAACAGAGGAAAAACTGATTAAGAAACTGTAGTTTTCTGTTAAATTTAAAGATGGAAGATGAACAAGTTAAAGAAACAATGATAACTTGGGCAAAAAAAACTTTGGGCACAAGGTAGAGTTAGAAAAATGGCAAAACGTGTGGGAAAGAAACTATAAAATAACAAGGGCAGCTACTTACAAATAAAATTTATATAAAATGTTTTATAGATGGCATTTACCACCTGCAACACCAGCAAAAATGTTTAAATATATGCCTAGCAATTGTTGGAAATGTAGACAAAAGCCAGGCACATATTACCACTTTTGATGGACATGCCCTAAAGTCTGGTCAAAGATACATATGTAGTTAGAAAAAATGTTAGGAAAACATGTAGACTATAAACTGGAACTATTTCTTTTAGGTATAATTTCAGAAAACGATGACAAAGAATGTGTATATTTAATATTACATTTACTAACAGCAGTAAGAATTACATTTGCTCAATATTGGAAAAATGATGAAACACCAGCTGAAGAAGACTTAATTAAGAACTTAATTATTCTGGATGGTTCAGAAATGGATACATACGAAGTTAGAAAAAAAGGCATGGAAGATTATTTCAGTATATGATTACTGTGGGGAATTCTATTATAGGCACAAAGATAGAAAGATTCAGCTACAAACCAAGGGAACAATGGCTGCTGAAATTGACAGAATTTGTTGAGGTGGCCAAACTGACTTCTTTGATTAGAGAAAGATGATTATTGACACTCATCAATGACTGGAAACCTCTTATGGGTTTTTTGCATAAAAAAGAAAAGGCGTTTGAGAGTTATGATTTTAAAAAGTAGAAAGAATAGGTTATTGAAAGGAGGGGATTACAGAGTCATCTTAGAGAAATTTGGTTATAATTTTATACATAACTACCAAAAGATTGGATGGTATGGAAAGTTGGAAGCCATTTCTTTATATGTATTCTCTTCTTTTCTTTTCTTTTTTTTCTATCACCATTTTCTTTTTTTGTCTCAGTTTACTATATTTTAATGTAATGTCCCATTAGTCCAGGGGTCTTCAAACTAGGCCCTTTTATGACCTGTGGACTTCAACTCCCAGAATTCCTCAGCCAGGCATGCTGGCTGAGGAATTCTGGGAGTTGAAGTCCACCAGTCATACAAGGGCCAAGTTGGAAGACCCCTGGTCTGGATCCAAGCCCGCAGTTTCATCAAAATGGCCGACTGATGAATTCTGGGAGTTGAAGTCCACCAGTCATAAAAGGGCCATGTTTGAAGGCACCTGGTCTGGATCCAAGCCTGCAGTTTCATCAAAATGGCCGACTGAGGAATTCTGGGAGTTGAAGTCCACCAGTCATAAAAGGGCCAAGTTGGAAGGCCCCTGCCTTAGTCCAATCAAGTAGAGTTGTACCTCAATACTCATCATTAATTGATTCCATGAGATGGAATTAATACCAAAAATGATGAGTACCGAACATATTTTGCCCATAAGGTATAAACTAGTGAATCACAAGGCAGCCAACATCGACAAGTTCTAGCTTGTGCGTTGAGTACCAAACAAACGATGAGTACTAGGAGAAAATTTTCATGTCAAAATACTGTAAGTACAAAATTCAATAAATTTCAAAGCCGTTGCGTACCAACGTACCTCTGAATTCAGTTCTGAATATTAATGGAAGCGGTGTCAAGAATAATACATTCTTAATGAAATGTCCACCATCTCACATGGAATAAATATATCTTCTTTTCATCCTTTTTTCAAACAGAGGCCATTTTCCAATTGAATGGTTCTTAATTCAAATGAAACCAGTGCTTTTTTTTGTCAGAAAAAAGGTGCTGGAACTCACATCTTGTTAATCTTTTATTTAAAAAATTATATATTCAGTTCTTAGCAGGACCGGCAGTTGAAAAGTAATTAGTATTTTTTAAAAAAAATTGGGGGTCACACTTTTCCACTCAAATTTTTTAAAAGATTTTCAATTCACCAACGATTTTTTAAAATAAATGATTTACCTTTCGCACGTAGTCAATTACTGTACACACACTCACACATGTCAGTTGTGTAATGAAACATAATGGTCGCTGCTGGCAGTAAGCACTCAGCACGCGACCACATGACCAATCACAAGCCGTGCAGCGCCATCACAACCAGCGCGGACGAAGTACGCATGCATCGGACTCGACACACAAGCACCGTTTTAATGATTTTGTCGCTGGCCTGCTACACCCGATAGGGCGATTCAAGTCCATGTGGACCAAACATCAAATTTTCAAAAGTTACTTCTAAAACTTGGAAAATCCATCCCAAAAAAGTGCCAGAACTCCGTTCCGGTGCGTTTTATGAGAAAAAAAGCACTGCCTAGGACTATTCTCCACAAAAATGCTGCATAGTTGTGGTAGGTTCAACCATACTCAAAGTTAAGGTGTCCCATCGTTGTGGATCTAAATTAAGCTTTTCAAAACCCTGAAAGATACGGAAGCCTCCTTGACCAGCAGGCCTGGAATAGATTTTATCCAAAATCTACCGGTCATGGAGATGTCTACTTTCTTCGTAGAATGGAGGATGCAGTTGGCTTGCACCTTGGTCTTTTCTGAGGAGACCACAATGCAACCTACAAGCAGAAGGCAGCCATGTTGACAAGAGAAGTGCAGTTGTCACCATGAGTTGGCTGCTTCCTCTGCAGGCTATCATGCGATTGTAATCTAGAAGGTTGAGATAATGGAGGTACGAGGACAGCAAAGACATTTTTCGCAGAGGCAGCCATCTCCACCAGAAAGGAGGATGGTGAGATGAATTCCACTCTTCCCCTTATGCACATGGGAAAAATAGCAGCAGATCTGTATTTTCTCATCTCTCCAAACCATAAAGATGGCCCAGTTTGGTCTAGTGCAGGGATAGGCAACCTTGGCTCTTTTATGACTGGTGGACTTCAACTCCCAGAATTCCTGAGGCAGCCTGGCTCAGCTTGGAAACCTCTCCCTTTCCCCTCAGCATGGCTGGCTCAGGAATTCTGGGAGTTGAAGTCCACGAGTCATAAAAGAGCCAAGGTTGCCTACCCCGGGCTAGGCCTAGGCCGCTTTATGACTGGTGGACTTCAACTCCCAGAATTCCTGAGGCAGCATGGCTCAGCTTGGAAACCTCTCCCTTTCCCCTCAGCATGGCTGGCTCAGGAATTCAGGGAGTTGAAGTCCACGAGTCATAAAAGAGCCAAGGTTGCCTACCCCTGGTCTAGTGGTTAAGGCACTGGGCTAGAAAGCGGGAGAATGTTAGTTCAAGTCCCGCTTTAGCCACAAAAGCCAGCTGCGTGATCTTGGGCCGGTCCCTCTCTCTGAGCCCAATCTACCTCACAAGGTTGTTGCTGTGGGGAAAATAGGAGGATGTGTTTCTTGCCTTGAGTTGTTTGTAAAAATAATAAAGGGGGGGTGATCAAAAACATCCCAACGGAACCGTTCAGAAGTTCCTGGGTGCGTCTAGCGGTGTGCGGGAGAGCATTGTATTGTGACCCAACACCACACCGGAAGTGGTGCCATAGAATAGCCCGCCAAATTGGAAGATGCCAAAGGAGTACGGCTAGTGAATTTCATGGAGCGTGGTTGGACCATCAATTCAGAAGTCTACTGTGAAACATTACAAAAACTCAGATGAGCTCTCCATAACAAGTGTCGGGGCCTGCTGACTGTGGTGTTGGTTCACGACAACAACAACAACAACAACAATAATAATAGTAATAGTAAAGTTGGAAGGACCTTGGAGGTCATCTAGTCCAACCCCCTGCTCAGGCAGGAAACCCTACACCATTTCGGACAAATGGCTGTCCAGTCCCTTCTTATGCTCGCTCACATACTGCTAGACGCACCCAAGAACTTTTGAAGCAGTTCCGTTGTGATGTTTTTGATCACACAAACACACACCTGTAGCCCAGGTTTGGCGCCGAGCGACGACTACTAAGGCATTTCAAACCTTGTAAGACGTTACGACAAGGGCCTCACTTTGAATGGCGATTATGTCGAAAAGTCATGTCATGTTGTAGTTTTCTAACGTGTATAATAAAAGTTCTGTATCTGCGAGTGTCTGTCATTGATAACCAAACGGAGGTTTATTTCCGAATTGCCCTCGTAGAAACAATTTTTTTTTCTCCAGCAGAGATGGAGATAACGTTGAAGTTTTCTTCCATTTGGGGTAAATATAGTTTTAAATCCTTTTTTTTTTTTCATGTTGTGGAGGAAAATAGCAGGGTATTTGCAGGCTTGTTGGCTTAATATTCCTTTTTTTAATGATCGATCTGCTTATTCCTACTCTCTGGGGTAACATAAAGTATGAATTTCTGTGGAGATTCTCTGTCATCCAGGTCACGGTTGTCCCAAAGATGTTTTTTTCAAAAGGCAACTGGGTTTTGTTTTTTCCTTGAAGACATTTCACTTCTCATCCAAAAAGCTTCTTCAGTTCTGACTGAACGGTGGAGGATGGAAGGATTTACTGTATATCTCTTGCAGTCATCTGGTCATTAGCACTCTTTCTGAGAGTTGTGGAAGCCACTTGTGCCCTCAGGATCACCTGAAGAGTGCAAACGAGTGTGGATTGCAGTCCATCTGTATTTGAAAGATAAAGTCTACTCTTCTGAAGACAGCAAAGTCCACATTTTCAACAGAGAGGACCGCTGGCTTGAAAGAGGGGTCAGAGAGGCCATCTACATTAAGATTGACCAGTTCTCTCTCAATGGGGGGAGGTGTTACTACACCCCCTATCTGCTGCCTACAACACAGCCCTTTCAGTGTCAACGCTGCTAACGTTGGATGTTCTTGCTTTGACATGAAGATGCAGCCATTTTCTCTTTAACCTGTGTGTTACTTTTAGAATTAGATGATGGTGGGCGGGGAGGGGGAAGAATGTGTATAGGGATTAGTTAAACACAACAACATCGCAGTAGAGTATTCTTCAAGGTTGTTTGAAACGAGAGATGATAAGAAATGGCGGGTTATAGAACTGGAGGGAAGGTCTGCATTTCAAACTAATGGGAGAATGTGATTTGTGACCGTTAATTGGAGGATGGAATTGTGCTTTGATACTATGTACTCAAGGGAGGGGAATTCAGATTTTGGCTTCGACCATGTACGTGCCGGTGCCATGTTATTTTGAATAAAGATTCTTTAAGGTAAACTGTCATGGTTCCGAAAGAAGAAACTCTTCAAAGAACTTTGAGGCATTGTTTACCTTAAAGAATCTTTAATTGAGCAACATAGCTTCGGCGAAGCCAAAATCTGAATTCTCGTCCCCTAAACACATAGTATCTAAGCATAATTTACTCCTCAATTTAACAGTCATTAATCACATTCTCCAATTAGTTTGAAGTGCAAATTTTCCCTCCCGTTCCATAACCGGCCATTACTTATCTCTTCTTATTACAAACAACCTTGAAGAATACTCTACTGAGATATTGTTATGACTAACTAATCCCCATGCACATTCTTCCCCCTCCCCTCCAGCACCATCTAATTCTAACTCTAAAAGTAATACACAGGTTAAATAGAAAATGTCTACATCTTCGTATATTGTCAAAGCAAGAACATCCGATGTTAGCAGCGAAGTTCTTTGAAGAGTAACATCTGTCGGAACCAGGACATCCAGCAATTCCAAGAAAGTCCATTTGCACTATTCAGGTGACCCTGAGGTCAGAGCTAAACCTCCAGGCGGCCTCAACAACTCTCAGAGGGAGTACTAATGACCAGACGACTGCAAAGGCATATAAATCCTTCCATCCTCCACCGTTCAGTCGGAACCGAAAAAGCTACTTGGAAGAAGAGTGAAACCTCTTCAAGGAAAAACCCAAATCCCGTTGCCTTTTGAAAAATAAAAACACCTTTGGGATAAAGCATGAATGCGATTCTAATCTATATATTGCCAGAGAATGAGGCAGGAAAGAGGTGATAATGGCTCCTGAAGCTGTACTTCAGAAATGTATACAGTAGAAAAATGCCGGGTTTTAAATGTCGTTGATATTAAAATAAAATAAAATCTCCGTACACATTTTTTTTAAAAAAATGCTGTTAAGAGAAACATTTTAGTTCCTTTTTTTTCTTTCTACTTGAAAAGTCAACGCGAGAACACATCTGTTTTTAATCTATGCCAGTGGTTCTCAACCTGTGGGTCGGGACCCCATTTGGGGTCGATTGGCCATTTCACGGGGGTCGCCAAGCAAGGCTGTCCGCCATTTTTTTGTCCGCCACTTTTTTATCCGCCATTTTTTTTCCCCTTTTCCGGCGGGTGCCTTACCTCCCTTGGGCTGGGCCAGCTGGTGGTCGGCCTGCTCTGTCTCTGCCGCTTGCCAGCTACGCCTCGGCCGGCGCAGGGGGCAGAACCACGCATGTGCGGCGCTCCCGGACAGAGAAAGTCCTCAACTTACGACCCGTTGGGTAGTCCTCGACTTATGACCGGTTTAGTCCTCGACTTACGACCTTGACTTATGACCGGTTGGGGTCACGGCATTAAAAAGGTTGAGAACCACTGATCTATGCATTTGTGTTGTTATTATTGGGCGATTATTGACCGGTTCAAAGCCAGATCCTTGGTTCCAGATAAGTAGGCCTCATCATATGCCACAACTGAGACCAGAATATTTAATAATAATAATAATAAAGTTGGAAGGGACCTTGGAGGTCATCTAGTCCAACCCCCTGCTCAGGCAGGAAACCCTATACTATTTCAGACAAATGGCTGTCCAGTCTCTTCTTTAAAACTTCCAGTGTTGGAGCATTCAGAGCTTCTGGAGGCAGGTTGTTAATAATAATAAAAGTTGGAAGGGATCTGGGAGGTCATCTAGTCCAACCCCCTCCTCAGGCAGGAAACCCTATACCATTTCAGACAAATGGCTGTCCAGTCTCTTCTTAAAAACCTCCAGTGTTGGAGCATTCAACGCTTCTGGAGGCAGGTTGTTCCACTGGTTAATTGTTCTCACTGTCAGGAAGTTTCTCCCTAGTTCTAGGTTGCTTCTCTCCTTGGTTAGTTTCCATTTGTTGTTAAGCAAAGCCGGGTGCAATTTTACGACCTTTTTCGCCATGTACAACTTCAAAACTGAACCGCTCTTCCCTTTCCTTAACAATCTGACATTATTCTTGACTCAAAAGGGAACGAAAATGCTTTCACAGCTCATGCTTTGAGCGGGAAAATACGTTGATTATTTAAACAGGGTCCCACTGGGCATTTCCGCGCAGCTTATTTGCTTTAAAAAAAAAATCTTATGTTACGGTAGACATTTTGATACTGAAATGTCAGGGGCGGCTTTGCCATTTGAGTTTATAAGGGGCAGCTCTCCCATTACAGCCTTTTTCCAGCCTCATTCGGCAGCATATCTAAACCACAATAAGGAGGTTTCATGTGACCCTCCAGACATTCATGGCTTAACTGTCCGAGATTGGTTTTTATTTGTCCGTGTGAATTGCAGCCTTCTTTTTAAGGCTACTGTTAGCCCCCGGTGGCTGGTTTCTGTTGCATCCATTGTAGCACTACAATAAGATTTTAGTGTGGGGTTTTATAAAAAAACAATAATGATCTAATAAAGGAGAATATTTGCAGCTGGTGGTTGAAATGAAGAATCCTTAGGGCTGTCCGAGCTTGGTTGCTTTCTTGCAGACGTTTCATGACCCAACTAGGTAACATCATCAGTGCTAGAAGGGAGTGGGGTTTACAGGGAGGGGGAGGAGGAGGA